GCCTTCCTGCCAGACATGCTCCCTTTGGTTGCTTCCTTCTTCATGATCAGCCCAGTCTTGGTCAACAACACTTTTCCCCAGCCGATCATGAATACTTTTATTTTTTAAGCGCCGATCTATGTTATTATGATGATATGCATCCTGGGCATGGATAGACCGGCGGTTGATTTGAGATCGCCTAAACTCTCAATATTGATTGCTACATTCTGGACAGTTGTGTCTGGTAGGCAATTTCAAACCTTCGTTCCAGCAGTATCTGAAGAAAGGGCAATTCCAATGCGATTCGGCTTGCTTCCTTTCATACCTTTCTTTTTGTAGTTGACACTGGTATTCTTGATCCTCTAACCATCGTTGATAATCCTTTTCCTTCTGCCGCTGACACTTATTCAATAAGATTCGAGATGTAACTCGCAGCTTTGTCGCCCCATCCTTTGATGCTTCCCCATGTTCATATCGGCTCTTTTGCTAATCACAATGTTTTCTAATCTCTCTGTATCCATCAACCGATATTTGTATCTTAGGGTCAACTGTTCCAGCTTCTCTTGATTTGGCCGATGTTAGAACCTTAGTTTTTCCTTTGAATAGCCCAACATCAACCATATTGTGATCTCTTGGGAAAGGATTATCATCAACTTTCATCTTCCGAGGCGTATCGAACTTGAGCCTCCCTTGCTGAATAGCTCTCTGTATATGCTGCCGAAAAATTATGCACTCATTGGTGGAATGAGAAGTAGCATTATGAAACTTGCAGAACTTCTTATTCTTCAATTGTTCAGGGGGCAACATAACATGGTTGTCCAGCAATTTGATCTGGCCCTTTTTAAGTAAGAAGTCAAAGAGCTTGTCTGATTTTGTGACATCAAAGTCATAGCTCTCCTCGACTCCTCTTCCCCAAGGATTTGGTACCATCACTGTCTTCTTACCCCAATTCCATTCAGCTACAGTGACCTCTTCCTCTTCATCTTCACAGCCGTCGTCAATCGAATATGGATTATAAGCTTCGGCTACTGTGGTACTCTTCTGGAATCGGGTATCTCTGCGCATACTCTGCAATTGGCTATTGAGCACTGCTACTCGTTGAGCCAACTAACCCAAGTTATCAAACTCTTGCCCTAGCAACTTTTCTTTCCACATTGGCAGCATTCCCTGGACGGCTAAAGCAGCTAACTGATCATCTGCCAAGCTCAATGAGAAGCACAAGTTCCTAGTCTCTTAGAATCTCTGAAGAAACTCAGTGCCCGATTCGTTAGTCCTCTGTCTCATGGTTGTCAAATCGGTTATCTTCTTTTCTCCAGTCCTAGTGTAAAAATATGTATAAAACTTCTTCTCCAGGTTAGCCCAATTGGCAATGGAGTTGACTGGTAGTGACGAGAACCAAGTGAAGGCTGGCCCTGACAGGGATAAGGAGAAGAAACAAACTCGATGGGCATCCTCAACTGATGCTTTGCCCAATTGTATAAGATACCGACTGACATGTTCTATTGTGCTTGTACTGTCTTGACCAGTGAACTTGGCGAACTCTGGGAGCCTATAATTTGTAGGAAGAGCGACCAAATCATATCATTCTAGATATGGACGTTTGTACGAAAAAGTCATTCCTTTTGGCTTTAGACCGAACTGATTCTTCATCATCTCAGTCACCTTCAGCAGCAACTCGTCAGCTTGCAGATTTGGATTTCTCGGCACTTGCTGACCCATATGTGGATTGATATCCCATGTGCCTTGATATCCTAGATTTGGTATCATGTGGAGGGTGCTATAATCCGTGCCATAGTGATAGCCTTGTGGAACCTCAATCTGTTGGGTCATCTGCTGGCTTGCTGCTTGAAGTCTCTGATTATAGACATAAGGATCTATATCTCTACGAATCCTTTGAATTGATGATGCTATCTTCTGAGCCGACGATGGTATATGGCCTGATGTGCCGAAATTGATCATCTGGTTTTGACTTTGCCCCGCCGGCTGTTGCACATGCTGTATCGACGGTCCAGGATTGTACTATATCTGATTCGTAGTAGTACCTAGAGTTTGTTCAGATGAACCTTGAAGTGCCTGGACGTCACCATTACCAGCTGGTGCTGCTTCTTGATGGTTGGTGCTGACTTGATTAGTCCCTTGGGTCAACGGATCTGGAATGTTGTAACAAGTTGATCCAACCTGACTAACTGGAATTCCATGAATCGCCTCTTTTATGGCATTGTGAAATGCGTCAACGAAAGCTTCATTGCGGCTTGATAGAGCATCCCGAACAGATTTGTCTATGGCTTCTGTAAAGAAACATCTTTCTTCAGCTTCGACTGTATCTGTCTGCCCGTGTAGTAGAACTCTTGGTAGTGGAAATTTCTGAATAATGGAGTTGTCACGTGTTTTGGTGTAGGACAACAAACACTTCTTCTGAAATTCTTCTGTAGCTTTGTTGATGGTACCCTTATCTTCATCAGGTAGGTCTTCATAATGTACCATAAGTATGTTGTCATTGTTGTGAACCACCATGATGATTGTGGGGTCCCACCAGGCCTGCTAGAAACGTGTGTCGACAAAGAATTTTTGTCTCCGTGCCGAGGACACACGCAGCAAGCCGGAAGTGTCCGCTCGATGGAGCAGATCCGCCTTGCTTCAGTGCAAGGGTGGTCGATCCTGCGCAATCCTCTCGAGACATGCCAGTCCATTTGACCCTGCAATTGACAAGGAGAGAAAGTTTATCAGTAATTAAGGGCGGAACATGCCGGTGTTGCCAGACAGTCCCGAATGTGCGGCTTTGAGAGCCGATATGAGAGGAGATCGATTAAATAGTCGATTCCAGCATATTCATAAGAATAAATCGGTTAAAGCTCATGGGGTTGTGTAAGAAGAATCGGTTATCATTCAGGATAAATATAAATTCGAGCATAAATTAATCAATGGCAATAAGATATCCATGATGATCGGTTTAAACTGAGCCAATGATTACAAGTAACCGAACCCCTTTTCGTGAGAGCGCAATACAATAACAAGATCATAGGACTAACATATCTTTCAACTTATCTCTACTTCAATGGTCTCGTAATGTGATCTGTTCGTGAGAGCGCTCGATATCAGCTAAACAGCCGATTCAGGCATAGCGCATAGTTAAGGTCATGCCTTCTCAGGAACGGATCTATCAACTAACGATCCCCACTCCACGGTGCTAACAGTGGGATGAGAGGTAGAATCCCACAGGCCGTGATAATGAGCCATGGAACGGTTCTCGCTAACCAATAGATCTACTCAATATCGAACATGCCTTAACCGCACGCTATGCACGATTAAGATTGATATAAAAACAGCCGATAAAAACATAACTCATCGTTTAAAATGTAGATTAGATCAGTTTTAGATTAGCAAACGATGGGTTAAATAAGATATAAGGCCGATCCAGATCAATCTCAATCGGGCAGAGTGATATTGCTATAATTAGATAAACAATGAAAGCAATAAACAATATCGGTAACTTAATGAATCTACCAAAGATTGCCATTCAAAGGTAGAGCCGATAACTTGACCTTGATCTAGTTCAAGCAGTGGGGTGTGAGACAGAATCACACATGCCATACTTGAACTAGGCAAGAGTCGATAACTAGCCTATACCAGAGTCGTAGTGGGGTCGACCGGATCGATGCAGCCATGCGAACAGAGGTATAAACCATGACGGTACTTACATACAAGCAGGGGAGGTTGACCAGATTGATGCAGCCGTACTTGCTGAAGAACTCGCCGAGATCTACTCTACTCCTACTCCTAAGGGGTGGCCGGAGCCAAAAAAGTAATTGACTTTGTATTTGATTGATTGGATGTTTTTACAATAGCCGGGGTTTGATATTTATACCCGGAGTCTAAACATGAATCCTACTCGAGCATGATTTGTTACAACTTTGGGCATAAAATGAAAACATTCCTAATTTAAGATAACTTGGACTCTAATCTTTTCTTTTTTGTAGAGTCCAGCATGTCTCATCCCAGCGCCAATCATAGCCTCTGTCGTTATCTGCTGGCGCTATCTGAAGAAAGCCGATTCTAGTGCCGTATTCGAATCAGCTGGTTTTGATCTACACGCAATTGATCCCTTGCTGACATGATTCTGGGAGCTCTCGAGCCTCTAAAATCCTTCTTCCAAATTCTTGTGTAAACAGGCGCAATGGACCAGGGTGCTGATCCATGACCCTACGGGGAGCAGACAGCGCAGTGACCGTACGTCCGTACTGTAGATGATGCGAGTTTCCTCCTGGACCGTAGTGGTTGTCGTATGCTTCCGCCAGGATCCACGCCCAAGGGCAAATGACGGCGTCCACAACACTGTAAGGCAAATGTCGACGCCTACAACACTGTTCGGGCTCTGATGTCTAGAATGGCTTAAAGCGCCCGTCTTGTCATATCTTGATGGTACTTTCCTATAGGCGTGCAGGGTATAGTTCTCGGTATTGCGGTTGACTTAGTGCCCTGCCTTATCTGCGTGCGTAGTTATGAAGGAGCAGCGCGCGGACATTGGACAAGGCGGAGCCAGCCCTTGGGAGTCGGGCGAGACGGAGTCTGCCCTTAGACGTCGGGTGAGGCGGAGCCAGCCTCCGGATGCCGGACGAGGCGGAGCCTGCCCTTAGACGTCGGGCGAGGCAGAGCCAGCCCTCGAGGGTCGGGCGAGGCGGAGTCTGCCCTCAGACGTCGGGTGAGGCGAAGCCAGCCCCCAGACGTTGGGCGAGGCAGAGCCAGCCCTCGGGGGTTGGGCGAAACGAAGTCTGCCCTCAGACGTTGGGCGAGGCGGAGTCCGTCCTTGGGGGTCGAGCGAGACGGAGTCTGCCCTCAGACGTCGAGCGAGGCGGAGCCGGCCCTCAGGAGTCAGCTTGAGGTGGGGCCCATGGTCTCGGTGGACGAACGAGGAGTGACCCGATAAGCGGTGTAGTCGCGCTCTAGATCGCGTAGATGAATCAGTGTTGACGGTCATTAGCTCCTCCTCTTTGTGTACCCTAATATTGGTCCCCGACAGCTACCTTTGTATCTGTAACATGTTTCAGACTAGGCAGCATTTGGGCAAACTCCAGGCTGTCCACTGGGATCTCAGAAATATTGACAGCACATTCCTCCTCCCAGACGTTCCTAGAACCAATGTCTGAAATTTTCATTTTCTTTGTTGCAGCCACCAAATCTTCAGCGTCGCAGATGCGTCCAGTGTCAGAGCTTGGTCTGACCATCTCGAAAAACTTGATGTGATCTCCAAAAACCATGATGTTCCAAGAATAGCGGGCATAACCCCTGAGCGGCTTGGGCACCTGTGGCAACGGTAGTGGGATGTAGCAAAGAATATGGTTGTCCGGGAGAAGAAGGTGACAGATAAGGATGCCCCGCCAGAGGTCGACCCAGCCCACTGAACCGGACTCACCTCCTATGGTTAGGACAGCGTTTGGATATGCAAAATTGAAATTCTCCTTGGGTGAATAATCATAATCAATATGCGTCAACTTGGTGTTCCATGTTCCTGTCTTGGAGTTGTACAGGTGGAGATCATACTGCTCGTCGTCGTACTTAAAATCGGAGACCCTAACAAGCAGGGCGAGGTAGAACATATCTTGGTCGTGGCAACGCAGAAGCACAGCCTCGTGGTCACTGAACTCTAGGTCGTCCAGGATAGGTACCAGATTTAGTGACGGCGGCGTGTCATGGTGCCGCCCTGGTAGACAAAGTACTGGTGGTCCTCGTTGTTGAGGAGACATTGGTCGTCGTCTCGACGGCTGATGGTGACGATGGGGAAACGGAACAGGATGAGGTCGTCCTCCGAGTGGACGGCCTTGGGCAAGTTGCCGTACACGAAGGGCTAGAAGTCGGAGCAATCGAAAGTGAAGTAGGAGACGCGCGGCGGGCTGGCCACCCAGAAGGTGACCAGGATGGTACGACCGTCCTCCGTGAAGCCCTCGGCGGTGGTGCCGTTGGTCGCTGAGGTAGCCGTACGGGTCGAGGAGGATCGACCCAGGAGGAGGAGAGCCCGGATCATCGGCGTGGAGATAGATAGGTGGAGGGATCTTGAGCAACCTTTGGGCGGAGAACGAGGCCTTGGTGAGATCTGGAAGGTGGGGATCGGATCTGGCCATCTGGGCGGCGGCTTGGCTAGAGGTGGAAACCCTAGAGATATTTATTTGAAGACAAGAGAAGGGCAGGCTCTCTAGGGCTGTGACCAGCTTCAGCTCGGCTTCCATGGTGCAAGCTCACGTGTTTGTTTCACTGGACCAAACGAGCCTGGCTACATAGAGATCGTGTTTGTTTACCTATATCAGGAAGTATGCCTACCACATGATGCCTACCTTACACCCAGGAAATGATAGCCTTACCACCCATCCTTCCCAGCTCTCTCCTTGTAGTCATTTGGGATGTTCCAGGACGAAGGGAGGAGACGAGGCAGAGCAGCAAGGGTCCGTGGCCTGGGTCACGGCCGTGGTTGCCGCTGTCGTGGGGGCCATGAGCTCTGATACCCAGGTCCTCCTCGCCGCCCGCATGTGCAGAGCCCTCCATCGTCTGCGCGTGCAGGTGCCACCACCGGCCGCGCGTAGGTCCTCCTCACCGAGTAGTGTGCACTCACAACGCTGCTTTCCATCTGGCCGGTGTGGGCAGCGGCTGGATGTGTGCGTCGGCCGCACCTGGCGACCACGCCTAGAGGCCGGAGGGACGCAGGGAGCAGCGTGTGCGTGTGGCTTCGCAGCGCGTCGGGGTGAGCGAGGCACGACGGACGACATGGACTCAGGCCGGCGATGGCATGGCCGCGCGGCAGCATGGGGAGGAGGAGGTCTGGGGTGGCGCGGAGGAGGTGGTGTGGGAGGAAGGCGTTGGCGGCGCGCGAGGCCTCCTGCCGGCTGCCTCGACTGCTACGGGAGCGGTGGGCGGTGGGATGGGGAGGGAGGCCGTGGCCGCCGTAGTGGCGGCGGAGCTAGAGGATTCGACCGGGCGGAAAGGCAAGGGAAGGAGACGGGCGGTTACCGTATCGTTTCATCGAGGCCACGGAGCGCTGAAAGGAGCTGGGCAACGAAGGGGTTTCGTTTTTCTAGGGCCTGGCCCAACTTGCTTTAAGTTCCGTGCGGCGTAGGCTCCGAGGCTGGGCCAGGTGCACCAAACAGGGGAGTTGCAGCCTACGGGCGCAGCCGGGCCGTCGGGACACCCTCCGAAACAGGACCTAGGTCATTTCACGCGCCCCCGTGGCACACGAAGCATGATACGTCTCATCGTGGGTTCGACATATTTTAGGATTTAACGGCGTCTGCGTTTTCAATGAAAGGCGACGTTGCCCTGTAGTGACTTCGTCAATCGGCTCAGTCTTCGAAGATTCTCGTAGGGATAGGGTTTGTGTGCGTGTGTTCATAGGGGTGAATGTGCGTTCGATGTGAGCGTCTGCGTTATAGTGTGTAATTCAAAAAAAGGAAAGCAATTTTTTTTTATTTTGTGATTTTTCATAAACAAATACTAGACAAAAATATTTGCAAACTTCATGCATGCCGCATATTTAAACGTTTTATGAGCAATTTTTGTGTGGACCATCAAAAAAAAAACTCGCGCTTTCTTTCGGACTAAAAAACTTACCACAAATCTGGTTTTTTCTTTTCTAAGTTTTGGGTGAACTTGCTGTTAACATGGATGGTCCTGGGATGTGAAATGAATAGTTTACCCCTACTTGTTGTTGGGTACCGGGAGACTTTTCTGTCCTTCTCTTCTCCCACCAGCGCCACGGACACAGATGCCTCGGTGACCCTTTTGCCATCGGACACGTGCCCTTTCTGTCGCGTTGGCATTGCATCGGGCCGCTGCTGGTGTGGTCCTCGGTCGCGTCAATCCTACGCCGTGCCTGTCACGTTTTTAGGTCTCTCCTCAGTGTGCACGGAATGAATCGCGGCGGCCGTACGTTCCTCGGCGGCCTCTTCTCCTCCTTTGCTCTTGCTCCATCCGTCCGCCGGTCTCTGCACCTCCCCTCCACCTCCTAGGTCTAGCCGGCGGTGGACCACGGGAAGAGCGTCTCCTCCCTTGCCTCCATCCGTCCGCCGGTCTCAGCGGCTTGCCTCCGGCTCTAGGCCCCGTTCGGCTGGCTAGAAAAACGGCTGATGTTGATGTTGATACTAATTTATTGTGAGAGAAAAATACGTATATTGTTAAAACGGTATGGCTGATAAGTTCAAGCGAACAAGGCCCTGGGCGGTAGACCATGGAAGGGATGGGCGGTGCTCGAGTTCAGGAGAAGAGACGGCGCATGCTCCAGTTCGGTGTGCGCAACTCAATAGGTGCTTCTCTTCTTCCTACTTCAGCGTTGTTGCCCACTCAACCGCCGGATTCAAAGCCCCAGCCGCAGGATGATGGAAAGGATGGGCATCAATATCTACATTCAGTTAGTTGTTGCTGCTTCAGGAATTTTTGTTGGTCTGTAATATAATTGCCGTTTATCAGTCTAAGTATTCCTCTTCAATGTGTGCCTCAAATTGAAATTCTAGGTTGTGCTGTGCTGCCTCCATCCAATCCAATCAATTGCTCTATGGTCAGACAGAAATCAGAGTATAGGATCTCCTCGGTAAACTTCTCACATCATGTATAAATAAATATTCATCTTAATGTGTGCTCTCTTTTTCCCTGATTATCTTTCTTTGTTAATTCCTATTCTCCTTCATCAGTTCTCTGTTGCTGCCGCACATCATGCATAAATATTCATCATATGTGTGCTCATTTTTCCCCTGATGATTATTTTTCCTTTGTTAATTCCTATTGTCCTTCATCAGTTCATCAGGCCATCATGGATTTGGTGTACAGCCTGTCATTTTATTTGGTGTTGTGACTCAACCTTTCAACATTGCTGGCTTACATTGAAAAGGAGGGACAAAGGTCTGCTCTGTTTTCTTCATATCTTGCAGAGAATCAGTTTGTTTCTCACTTATCCTTCTTCATTCACCTCTCTTCCTCATTTGTTCCCTTTTGCTTAAAAAATCCGTGCCTCTTATACTCCCAAATTTCTTACTACAAAGAGGTAACTTTCTTAATGAAGATCTATAAATGCATTATTATAGAAATGAGGACAGAAAAGCCTTGTGCCCATTCAATCATGGGCGTATCTACCTTCCACGGAATGCAACAAGATTGCATAGCCACATGGTGACAAATATAAATATATTGGTTGTTCACAGGTATGGCTACATCAATATACACGAGACACTAGAATTGCAAAGATATATAACAGGATGGTGTTAGTTTTCTTATATTTATAGGGGTTAAGCCATGAGCCTAACTAGCTGATCTTACGTGTTGCTGGCTGCCTCTTATTAACTACTACTGCAGTAGTTTCCATGAGATTTAGATCCTCCCTTTTCCCTTTCTTTCTATTGACGGACAGTTTGATGAACTGAGTCATGTTTCAATGACCGATAATTTCTGTGTAAAAAACGGAACAAACTAAGTAGCGGCTTAATCGTTGTCATTTTCCTATAATTAGTGATGTAAGACTGGATGCTTGGCAATGTAGTGTACTCGGAGAACAAGCCCTTCCACCAATATTCAGGTATGTCATATCTTCAGAGTACACTACATCAATCTGATTCTGCTTCTTGGCATCCCTTTTCTTGCAGCAAGCTGCAGACATAAGCACAGGGTCTGCTTTCCGAGGTTAGTACCATATCTATAATGCCTATTTTTACCCTATGCTACGGATTTCAGTAATCTTTTAGTACTACTAGAACATTAGGCGCCCTTGGGGCGCCCTATCTTGACTATTTGGCCAAATTTATAGATACTGAAGTATTTAACCAAATTTATAACAATAATTTTCTCGTTTCATAAATAACAATAGTTTTCTTGTTTCATACAGAACAAAATTAAGAAAAATCTTTTTGCATGTAATACACTAAGATCTTTTAACAATAAAAGAAAATTAAACCATGAATGTCATTGGACATCTTCGAGAACTCTATTACATCAGGCAGCACTATAAAGGATCATTGTACAATCTCAGAGTTCAATTTATGGGGGTGAAATTTGAAAAATAAAGCATCTATCTAAGGCCCCGTTCAGATGGTATGGTTCTGGAGAAATTTGGATGGTTTAGAGGAATTATGGAGGAATTTGTGAGAGGAAAACACTGTTCCGGATGAAAAAAGAAGAGGATCAAGCCGGGTTCAAGGGCACGCGAACGGGGCCTAAGTAGGAAGTATACGTGCAACCATAATGAACTTCAAAAGAGTTTGTGCTGAACTTGGTCCAAAACAAAAAGACTTATAGAATCTCTGATTAACGTGTAGTTAACATCAATTTATATACTTCTAAACCACTCGACGGCGGCTGGGCAGAGGAGTCGTTTGATAGTGACAGCGGGTCTTTACTGCATCTGTGCACCTGCTTCACAACTCAAGAGAAAATTTAATCTTATCCAAACTTGAAAAGAAATATCTTACAAGCTGCCTAGAAAAATAGCTTTTTCTGCAAGCTAGTCCAAAATCAATGGTAACAAGGCCACTGAAATGATATACATGTTGTACAGAGTTATAGGCTGGGTAGTTAATTTTGCCAACATAATGAATGCTAATGATCCAGGGTATAATTGTAGTGAGCATGTAATCACTAATCATAAAATTAGAAATACAAGCAGCATGACAAAAATGGTATCAGTCACTAAAACATTGAAAAAAAAGCAAATCTTATAACACTATTATATATACTCTACCAAATACAGGGTATACACCTATTGCTGTTGTAAGCTAGCATTGGCCCAATTAAAGTGACAACCATTGATTAAAGAATAAGTATGTGCTGACAAAGTCTCAATCAATGGAATTTCAAAACGTAAATTCCGAGCAAATAAACAAATTTACATAAGAATGTGGCGGGCTTGGTGCAAGCGGTAGAGTCTTACCGCCTGTGACCGAAAGGTCCCGGGTTCGAGTCACGGTCTCCTTGCATTGCACAAGCGAGGGTAAGGCTTGCCACTGACACCCTTCCCCAGACCCCGCGCAGAGCGGGAGCTCTCTGCACTAGGTACGCCCTTTTTTAATGTGGCATATGCAAGCTAAACATGCATTTGAGAAGTACCAAAGCAAACTGAGAAGGCCATTACCAATCACCATGCTTTGGCTGTTTCATCATGAAAGCTTCCAAGTAATTTGGCCCAGTATGTAAAAAAGGTGAATTGAGATTCAGTCTACTGAGTACGGTAAGATTCAAAAGGAGATATAACATTGGA